CTAATACTGACAAAGGTCTCATGAGTTATAAATATCATTTTTCCATGCAGGAATGTAAACAGTTCAACCTTAATAAGTCTTTTATGATTTCTCTTTCTTGTTTACCTCTTCATGTTCCACTTGAGTCTTGTATCTGAAAGTCAAATTTTCTATTCAGCTCTGGTCTTTTCATCAAGAATGCTTGAAATTCCTCTATGTTACTGTATGACCATTTTTTTTTTTCCCTGAAGGATTACACTCAGTTTTGCTGGGTAGGTGATTCTTGGTTGTAATCCTATCTCCTTTTCCCTCCAGAATATTATATTCCATGCCCTGTGGTCCTTTAATGTAGAAGCTGCTAAATCTTGTGTTATCCTGATTGTGTTTCCACAATACTTGAATTGTTTCTTTCTGGTTGCTTGAAATATTTTCTCCTTGACCTGGGAACTCTGGAATTTGACTACAATGTTCCTAGGAGTTTTCCTTTGGGGATCTCTTTCAGGAGATCGGTGGATTCTTTCAATTTCTATTTTGCCCAATTGTTGTACAAAATTGGGGGATTTTCCTTGATAATTTCTTGAAAGATGATGTTTAGGCTCTTTTTTTTTGACCATGGCTTTCAGATAGTCCACTAATTTTTAAATTCTATCTCCTGGATCTATTTTCCAGGTCAGTTGTTTTTCCAATGTGATATTTCATATTGTTCTCTAATTTTTCATTCTTTTGGATTTGTTTAACAGTGTCTTGATTACTCATAAAGTCACTAGCTTCCAATTGCTCTATTCTAATCTTAAGAAAGTCTTTTCTTCAATAAGCTTTTGGACTTCCTTTTCCATTTGGCCAATTTTTTTTAGGCATTCTTCTTCTCATTGGCTTTTTGGACCTCTTTTGCCATTTTGGTTAGGCTATTTTTTAAGGTGTTATTTCTTCAGTATTTTTTGGGTCCCCTTTAGCAAGCTGTTGACTTTTTTTTCATGATTTTCTTGCATCACTCTCATTTCTCTTCCCAGTTTTTCCTCTATTTCTCTTAATTGCTTCTCAAAATCCTTCTTGAGCTCTTCCAAGACCTGGGACTCATTCATATTTTTCTTGGAGGCTTTGGATGTAGGAGCTCTGACTTTGTTGTCTTCTTCTGGTTGTATGTTTTGATCTTCTTTATCACCAAAGAAAGATTCTGTGGTCTCAATTTTGTGAGGTTTACTCATGATCCCAGCCAATTACTTGAGTTATAAATTCTTTATTAAGGTAAAGGTCTGCTTCCACTGTGGAAAATGTACTGTCCCAAGTTTTGGCAGTTTGTACAGCTGTTTTCAGAGATACTTCTAGGGACCTGTTAATTTTCAGTTTTTCCCAGGCGGTACGATAAGGGGCGACATGTTTCCTCCTTTCCTCGACTGTGCTCTGGTCTATTAGTGACCACAAGCACTCCTTTGTGTCCTGGAAGTGTGAGGAAGGTTTCCTCTTCAGAGCCACTACAAGCTCCACCACGCCAGTGCTCTTCCTCACCCGAGGACTGCCACCCAGAACCATGACCCAGATCCAAGCAAAGGCAAAGCAAGAGATTCCTGCCTTGGCCCTGGCAAAAAGATCCCTGCAATCCCCCTCAGATCAGCCACCTGATTCACCCTCAGTCTGTGGGCCAGAAGCTCAGGAAGCAACCACCATACTGGGCTGTGCTCAGGATCTGGGGGACTGAGACATAGCTCCTCTCTCACTGCAGAAACAGATTTTTCCCACTGACCTTCTAAGTTCTCTTTGGTGTTCGTGGGTTGAGAGGTCTGGAAACCATCACAGCTTCCTGTGATTCAGTCCTCTGAGGCCTGCTCTAGGTTTGCTGTGGCCTGTGCACCCACGCCAAACCGTGCTTCTCTTCCAGCTCAGCGCGATATACCTTGCTGATCAAACTTCCAGGTTATCTTGGGCTGGAAATTTGTTTCGCTCTGTCTTTTTGTGGGTTTTTCTGCTTTAGAATTTATTTAGAGTCATTTTTTATAGGTATTTGGAGGGGTTTGGGGGAGAGCTCAAGTAAGTCACTGCTTTCATTCAGCCATCTTGGCTCCAAACCTTGTCTACCTTTTTATGTTGTCCTGGATCGTTTTCACAGTTTGGTGAAGTATATTGACCCTTCTCATAATAATGCTTTTAAATGCTCAAGATTATTAAAGAAACAAGTCACTTTGAAATATAGTTTTCATAATATTTTAAAAATAAGTTCATGGAACCCAGGTTAAGACTTTCTGAACCATGACCTCAAATGATAGCATCTGATTTGGAAGAGACAATAGTTTTTGGGATTTATGAACATAGCAAAATCTTATATATACCTATTGTTTATCATCAATGCCTTGAACATTATTCAATAATGGCTGCTAATTATGATAGGAGCCTATTATTAGCAAAGGACCTCCATATCTCCATAAGAAATGAAACAGAATTGTGACTTCTTGTGGGATTTAATTCTTTATACTTGTAGTTTCCTATTCTTAAGGACCCTACGGAAAATAATCTACCAGTTTTGTGAGTGATTCATGTTAGTATTTACAAAAGACAATAGATTGCAGCAAGCAAAAGGAGATCAGGACTTGAAGTCAGAAGACCTCTGCCAAAGTCTTTATAGAATCACTTATGAAAATGTTACCTTAGGGATGTTATTTCACACATACACACATTCAATTTCCTCATAAAACTGAGATGACAATACTTTGAAATCCTATTTCAAGAGAATTGTAACAAAAAAAATAAGGTTTAAATAGTATTTTCTAAAACACTACATAAACGGGATTCTTTTTTTTTTCTCCATTTACCTAGTACACTTGACATATGAGGATGAACAGGTCCAGAAAAATGTATAGAGGACAACCAGAATGATGAAGAGCCTTGATAATATGTTATGTGAACTTTCTTGGAGAATGACAAGGGGGAATTTTTTTCATATTAAAGCATTTGAAGAACTATTTTATTAAGGGGCAATTAGATTTATTCTTTTTGTGGCCAGGATGTAGAACCAGGAGCAAGGAGTAAAGGTTACCAAAAGACAGCCTTAGTGTAATATAAAGAGAAAAAATAATCCACAATTAGAGCTATTTAAATGTGGAACAGACTGACTTTGGAAGTAGTAGGTTCATCCTTCAAGCAGAGGCTGAATGATGACTTTTTGATTCTTTTTTTAGGTATGAGTTAGACTCCATGGCTGTTATATATCTTCTTGCTCCAAAATTCTATGATTGTGTGCCCCTATTTATGTTCACAATGGGCATGAAGATGAAAGCCTGTATTTGCTTGCTTTTTTTTTCTTTACTAATACAACCTTAACTGTAGTTTGGCCACTTGTTACTCCTCTTTAGAAGTAGTTCAATGGCCTCATATTGAGTCTCTATACCTCATCTCTCTGCTCTTCAGTCTATCCTCCACACCACCATTCAATTACTAATACTAAAATACTTCTCACCACTTTATCACTCCATTAAAAATATACCCGGGATGTTTTGAAAGTTATATTAAACTGAATGTATAGAGAAGGCTATAATCCTGTGAGGATTACAGAAGATGGCTTTCCCTATTCTATTTGAGCACTTTGACTATTAACTTATTTCCTTTGTGTTGACCAAAAATGTTAAGCATTCTGTAGTTTAAATTGAGGAAGTTAGGTGGTGCAGTGAATAGAGTGCTGGGTTTGAAGTCAGGAAGAGTCCTCTTTCTGAGTTCAAATCTGACCTCAGACACTTACTAGCTCTATGACTCTGAGCAAGTTACTTGTGTGTGTGTGTGTGTGTGTGTGTATATACATATATATATGTATATATATATATATATATATATATATGTATAAATTATTCTATACATACTTCAATTATCAGTTATTTCTCTGGATGCAGATAGCATCTTTCTTCATATGTTCTTTATATTAATTTGAGTATTTATTATAGTAAAAATGGCATTTTCTCAAAACCATTCTTAAAACAATATTGCTGTTACTGTATACAATGTTCTCTTGGTTCTGCTCATTTTGCTATTCATTATTTTGTGTAAATCTTTCCAAGTTTTCCTAAGATGAGTGAGCTCATCATTTCTTACAGCACAATAGTATCCCATCACAATCATATAGCACAACTTCTTCAGCTATTCCCCAATTGATGGACATCCTTGTAATTTCCATTTATTTTTGCCACAACAAAGAGAGTTGCTATAAACATTTTAGAACATATGGATTTTTTTTCATTTTTCCCTAATCATCTTTGGAAATAGACCTAGTAGTGGTATTGCTGGGTCAAAGGGTTTAGGCAATTTAATAACTCTTTAGGCATAATTCCAGGTTGTTCTCCAAAGTGGTTGGTTCGGTTCACAATTCCACTGCCAGTGAATTAGTGTACTATTTTCTCCACATTCTCTCCAACATTTGTTGCTTTCTCCTTCAACAATTTAGTCAATCTGGTAGGTGTAAAATGTGTCTCATTACTTCTTTCATAACCCCTCTCTTTTACAACCCCTTCTTTCCACTGAAAATGTCACCAGCATGATGTAGACTCTTATCCCCTCGTGATTTGACTATAGCAAATTGGTTAGTCTCTCTGTCTTAAATCTCTCACTCTTCCACATCTGTTCTCTAGTAAGTTGTCAAACTCGCTTTCATAAAACATATCTCACCATACCATTGTTATAATTAATAAAGTTTATTAGGTCCCTGCCAGGAGCGCCTGCGTCCCCGGCTGTGGTCTGATGCCTGCAGAGTGTGAAGAGAGAAAGAAGACCCGGGTAAGACCCGGGCTGGCCTAAGCCCTCCAACTCCCCAAAGCCAGCCCTCTACATCTCCCCCTTTCTTCTGTTCTAGCTTGAGAACATGGGATGCACATCAGGAGAAAACTCAAGAGTAACAAGAATACCATCAGGGTACAAAATGCAACAGCAAACTTGAAATATTCTGGAAAGTGTTAAGTTGCTTGATATAGTACAACAGCTTATAAACAATATCTTGAGGATCAATACCATCCATGTTATATTTTTGGAATGCCAAGCACCCTGAAGCTTATTCAATATTTGATCAGGAGTTACATTGGTAGTATTAGAAAGCAAATAGGGAGTTACACAAACAAAAGTATAGTGGTCAAGTTACAGGTTTAACCCAAGGGGGGTAAGGCATATAAGTCCAATGTAATCATGACTCCATCCCGGAGCCATCTGCGGCAGTCATCATTGCAAAAAAGGACAATCAACATCTTATTATTGGCTCTTCTTCTTCTCGGTCTCGCCTTCCTCCTCCACTTGTCTCTGATCAGTTTTTCCTTTGATGCTCAGGGTCTCTATCCCTCTGGTCAGTATGCTGACAGGTACGGATGTTCCTCTCGGGAGCCCAGACTGGTTCTCATGCATGTTCTGGAAAAACACAAGCATAACCTCGACCCTGGGTTAATAATTTTACTGGACCATCCCAATTACCCGTCTTTGGATCCTTCCACATTACTGTGACATCTGGTTGCTCATCTAACAACCTGTTCTTTTGCCCTGCAAAATGTTTTTGTGCAGTAGTACGTCCCTGATCATCTAGTGTCAAAAATTTTATGGTATATATTACCTGATCCAATCTCCTTTTTAAATTTATGGTATATATGATCTGATCCAATCTCCTTCTTACCCTATTTTCTATTCCCTCTTTTTTCTGTTTATCAAGGAGGATTTTAATATCCTTGTTGCACCTTTCAACAATGGCTTGTCCAGTAGGATTGTACAGGATGCCAGTAGAGTGAGTGATATTATAGGTGAGACAAAATTGTGCAAAATTCCTGCTAGTATAGGCGGGACCATTGTCAGTCTTGAGGTGTCTTGGATTGCCAAGAATATTAAAGCAAAACAAGAAATGGTATTGCTTATGTCCTTCTTAAAAATGTAACTAATCCAAAATATCTGCTTGTCATCATATGATATTCATCTTTCCCCCACTTTTTTTTTGCACATACTCTGACACATACATGTAATTACACTTAAAAAACATGAATCACACATTTGATATGAAATAAAGGAATTTTAGAATAAGACTCCCCCTAACATTGTGTAATTGTTTAGCAGAAAAATAGCCAACTAAATATGATTAAGTAGTTTTTAGAACAGCATAAATTTAAGTAGCTAAGAAATCAGGTATGTATAGAAATGTGTTTAAGGTTATGCTTCTTGGCAGAAAACACAGAAATAACTAAGTTTCCTATCTGTAGTTAAAAAAAGATTCCCTAATCGTTTAATTAATAAAAATTATTTTCAACTCTGAAATGTTGTTTTAACTACTGACCAGGCTATGACAAATTTATGCTGGATTTAATACAAGAGGGAGTTAGGCAGTAGAACTCTGCAGCAAAGCAATAGAATTTCTTTAGTTACCTACTGAATTCACGATGGTTTTGTTGGGCAAGGGTAAAAATCTATTTCTAAATATTCAAAGACAAATAAATGTCCCCTTTCCCACTTCACTTGTTTAATTTGCTTGCAAATCCTCCCAAAGAACCACCAGGACAAATGAAAGCCTAAAAATATTGCTATTAATATTCTAACAAAGTCAGAATGAATAATTTTTTAAATCAAAAAGTTCTATCAAAGATATGTTAAAAAGGACTTATGAAGTTATAGCCTTTTATATACTGTAAAATATATTAAGATTTTAGCTATATTATAACTAGTACTAAGGAGCTGATTCAGAAAATTTACAAGCTACATCTTACTGGAAATTTTAGTATACATACAGTGCATTAGACTGTGTTTAACATACAAACTGCTCATGTCAAATTTCTAAAGCAGAGAGTTTATTTACTCCTACCCTTGAAGTTTCCTCCCCACCTGATTAAGAAAACAAGCTGATTTGTTTTCTAATTATTGATATAACTTAGCTTCTTAAATAATTATCCTCTTTTTTGAATACCAATGTAATTTTTAAGTTACCTAAATGGTGGTTGTAGATAAAATGATACAAGCTTTATTTTTCTAGAATTACGGTAAGATAGAACGCTTGATTTACAAACTGATCTGAAATGAATGGAAGGTTGCAAAGGACATGTATCTACAAAAGCTATAGAATTCAGTATGCTATTTTAGCTATAACTTAAAACTTTTTTTATATGTATATAAGGCAAATGTTCCATTTTCTTTGATTATTATAAAGGATCTAAAATGAAATCCCCTTAACCACTGATGGCTGACAAAAAAATGTTAATATACAATTTTCTTTGAGACTCTTGAAAACTACAAAAATTTCCAGTATCATAATGACTACAAATTCTAACATTTAATGTGAAGTCATCATAACTCTTTGCATGCCACAACGACACACTCATAAGGCCAACTTTTTCAGAATGTACTATAACTTGAATAAAATCAAATAGGGAGACATATATAAAATGGGAAATACAATGTAGTTTCATATCACAGCTCCTGCTTGTCCATAAGACATTATGGAGGGAGTAATAATTTCACTTACACACTGACTTTGCAAATGTGATCAGCTGCCAATGTCCTGAATATTTATGACATAGGTCTTTTTAACAAGAACAGGACAGCAGCATGGTAACCACTTTTCTAAGTGTATTTTCTATACAAAATAATTCCAAGATGTAATCATTAAATTCTCATATAGTACTATTATTTTAAACAATAATCAATAAAGTAGCAAATATCTGAAAATTGCAACACCACTAAGAGTGAGCACTGCCATTTCCTAGTGTAATCAAAGTTGGCCTTAGTACAGTCTTGGCAATGCAATTGTTGGACAGTACAGGTATCTTATGCAGAGATTTCAGTAGCAGAATGGCACTTGGTTTGTTCTCAATAGAAATGACAAAGATGCAGTTGACAATTTAAAGAAAGACAATGTTCTTATTTGCATGCTAAAATTCTTGTTGTGTCCCCTGTATGTGAACACTTTCAAATAATATTGTCTGTCTCTCTGTTCTGCCCACGAGCTCTGCCCCATGTTAGCTAACTATCTTATAGGACACTAGTTAGCTAGTGCGGCTTACTTTCCCTTTAAATCAGAGAAGCCGAAAAGCAGCCCTCTAGTTCTGAAGTTTACTTTCGGTTGTGAAGACGCTCAAAAGCCATAGTCTTGTTTGTCCGCCTGTGCGGTCTGCTTTCCCACCTGTGCAGTTTGCTTTCACTTTAAATCTGAGACCCCGAAAAGTGGCAGTGTCGTTCTGATGTTCACTTTAAGAGACCCCGATAAGCGTCAGTCTCATTCTGATGTTCACTTTCACTTTAAGAGACCCCGATAAGCGGCAGTCTCGTTCTGATGTTCACTTTCACTTTAAGAGACCCCGATAAGCGGCAGTCTCGTTCTGATGTTCACTTTCACTTTAAGAGACCCCGATAAGCGGCAGTCTCGTTCTGATGTTCACGTTCACTTTAAGAGACCCATAAGCGGCAGTCTGGTTTCTTTTTAATCCCCGTTTAACCTGGTGAAAATAAAAAACTGTATAGGAAAATTATCGCCCTACCTTGTTAGCGTCTTCTCTTGACGACCCGAGCTCCTTTTCTAGGGCTGTTGGCCAAACAGCCCACCTTGTTCAGGGCCACTCTGCCGGGGGAAGCCTTCCTTTCAGGTCCCTGTCTAAGCGCCAAATGCCCGGAGCGCCTGCATCCCCGGCTGTGGTCTGATGCCGGCAGAGTGTGAAGAGAGAAAGAATCACGGGCCAGGTGAGAGCAGTGAAGAACAAACTCTGTTTATTGATCTGAGGGCTCAGGCTTATATAGTACTGGATCAAGCTATTCATGAAAAGTACAAATCTGATTAAGTGATTTCCTTACTTCCTTGTACCTTGTCTGTCACATTCTTTCCTGCATCCTGTCCTGTACCCCATCTGTTTCCTCCCTTCCTGCATCCTGTTCTCAAGAGACAGAACAGGGGGGTGGTGAGCCAACATCCTGAGTTTCACAGCAGTCAGGCTTAGTACAAGCTGCAGGTAAGACCCGGACTGGCCTAAGCCCTCCAACTCCCCAAAGCCGGCCCTCTACAGGTCCCTAATCTAATAGAAAATGCTTCAAAGCCCTTCATAACATCTTAACTTTCTGGTCCCTTTACACTTCACTTCTTTCCACATATTCATCTATCTACCTCTTTGCTTGTCCTTGCACCCAACAATTCCCCCAACTCAAAGCATTTTCACTGGATGTGAAATGTAATTCCCTACCTCTTCATTTCTGTAAGGACTGTTTTTCTTTGCTTTTGATTGCTTTGTAACCTCACAACCTAGCACAAATAAGAGAATATGCTAGATGCTTAATAAATGCCAATTTACTGAGTGATTGACTGACAAGGCCTGGTCTCTAGGCTTTATAGCATCCTGGGTACCTTCCTCTCTACCTCTTTCATGGTCTTATCAAGACTTTAGAAACAGCTGGAAGGTATAGTCATGGATAAAATGTTTGACTTGGAGTCAGAAAGACCTGACCTTGAGTTTTGCCTTACATATTGATTAGTTTTGTGCCTGTGGTCAAATCATTAAATTATTTTAGTCTCAAGTTCCTCATCTGTAAAATTGAGTTGATAATAGTGCCTACCTCACAAAGTTGTTGTGAAAATCAAATAAGATTTTGTATGTAAAGTGTAGAGCATGATAGAAATGTTAACTATTATTATTAGTGGCATTTTTACTTACTTTCTCAATTGATTCCTTTATTGTTGATGGTCATATCTTCCACAACAAGAAACCCAATCTCATCACAACACCATGTGTTTTTGTTCTTTCCTGAATCTTGTTTTAAACTTGTTGGAATTCATTTTAGGGTCAGACAGAATACACGTAGATTCAAAATAGATGTGAAACTGAGAGGAAACCTTGGTGCATCAGCCAGACAGTGTTGCTCCAGAATTGGATTCTCTCCTCCATATCCCCTCCCCCATCAGTTTAAGGTTATAGTTACAGAGTGAAATAAACTTTAGTGGAAAGATACTTTGGGCAGTTGTCAATCAGCAAACCCTTAACAGAGCTGTCCCTGAAGATCTTGACCTGACAGAATAATTTATTTGGGTCCTGAACCAGTAGAGCCACCAGACACAAAGTGCTGGTACTTCTCTAGGTTCTGGCTTCCTGATTAATAGGGTACATGGAGAAGGCCATCAATCAAACAAGGATTTGCTATGGCTATGGGGACCATTACTTCAGAGCTGAACGAGTTCAAGAACTCCCCCTTAGAGGAAAAATGTTTATATTTCTCCATGGCTGCATGGACAATTACTAACAAAGATGATTTTGAAGCAAATTTAAATGAACACTAAATAACAATTATGTATATCTGTTAATATTCATGCCCAAATTAGTCAAAGCTATTACTTATTATAAGTAACTTATTTAGTTTTGTTCTCTTTCTACAGCAGACATAATGTATACAGTTATGTCACAGATTGCCTTTTCTCTTATTCAGCAGTTTAACTGAAACTCTTGTCACATAATACTAAAATGTCAGATTTAGAAGACACCTTTAAGACCTTTTCAACCCCTCTCAGGTTACAGATGAGGAAACTGACACCCAGAGGGGTTAAGTAGTTTCTTTAAAATCACTGAAGTGGCAGAGTACAGACCTGATTACAGGATTTTTTATTACAAGTTAATAGCTCTTTCTAAGCTCAGAACATGATAGTGAGTCTACAAGTCCATATTTGAACAGGACAATGATATTTGTTCACCTTGAATCACTGTGATAACTTGAAGTTCCTCCAATTTTAAAAAGGTATTAAATGATGCCCAGTAACATCTTGGTTTTAATTATAATTATATATGATTATTGTCTATTAACCAGCATGTTTAATTACCTAGAATACCTGTAACTCAGGCTGTGCTGGAAAAAGAGGAATTTATCTCCAGGGTTTCCTCTACTTTGAAAATAAAAAGGTCTTTGGGAAAGGGCAGTTTTGTTGACACATCATTTCTCATATTATTTTAGTAGCAATTTGAATAATGACTAAGACTTAATGTCCCCCCTGAGCCAATATGCCTTATCCCAGTAGGATATTCTTGTAGCCTGATCTTTCATATTTTATATTTTATGTCAGTCTTATCTGTCTTCTCTGTATTCATAGCCTTAATCCAAGTACTTCCTAGAACTCTTACCATTGTTAAAGTGGACATGCGAATTCTCCTTCAACGTCCTTGGTTTCAGCAGGTCATCCAGTAAGTAGTAGAATCCCCTTACAAAGCCTAAAGTGACAGACCAAAAAAGAAGCCAAAAAGTTTTTTTTGGGGAAAAAAATCCCATGCCTATTTTGGAGTCCAGAAGAAAGGATTTGTGAAGGCATTCAGCAAAGCCATTTTTCTGCTAAGAGGCAGGCTCAGCAGAATGTGCCTCACCATGTACTTCAAATGAAAAGGATATACAATAGGCCTCTTATTTCAGAGACTTTGCAAGATGGCACTATGCCATTTTGAAAGCCAGGATAATTTTAACCATTCTGTGTTGACGTGATGTTGGTATATGTCCAATAAAGAAGAAGTAGTCTACATTTTCTATCCAGTCTTTGGAGTGGATTTCCTTTGCAATTCAGACTAAATGTGGGTCATATGAAACTGAGAGGAATCTTTGGAGTTTCAGCCTTGCAGCACTGCTCTGGAATTGGATTGTCTCCTCTTCCACCTCCCCTATAAGTTTAAAGTTATAGTTATAGAGTGAAATAAACCTTATTGTAAGCATGTACAAGGCAGGTGTTAATCAGCAATGTTTCTGGCAGAGTTGTCACCAAATTCCCTGCCTGACAGGATAATTTGTTTGGGTCCTGAACTAGTAGAACCACCAGACATATAGTGCTGGTCCTTCTCCAGGTTCTAGTTTCCTGATTAATAGGGTACACAGGGAAAGCATTGATCAAACAGGGATTTGCTATGGCAACCATTCCTTCAGAGCTGAATGAGTTCAAGAACTTCACCTTAGAGGAGAAATGTTTATACTTCCCAATGGCTAGATAGACAAGTATTTACAAGCCAAGTGACAATCACCTTTGTGAGTTTCAGTTTCCACAAATAAAAATGTTTGTACTCTTATTTGCTATTGATATAACACATTGCTATATAGAAACAATAATAATAAGTTGGCAAAATGTTCCACAGTTATCTAATTTGATCCTTACATACACCATTTGAATTAGGTGCTCTTATTATTCTTATTTATAACTTGAAAAGTGACATACACAACAAATTAGGACTTTGTTTATTGTTTTGTCCAGTCTCAAGAAATGATGGAAAAAATGTTGAAGTGGCTCTACATAATTTTCCAGAGAGCTGGTTTTTAAACATTTACCACCACATCTCTGCCATCATTCATTTTCTAGTGTCCTTCTCACTGCTATATAATACAACCAGAAATCTTAAAATTATTCTGATGTCATCCATTAAAAATTTATGTTGTCCAAACTCACCTAAATTCACAAAAATCGAACTCATTACCTTTCCAGTAAACTTTCCTTTACCTCTTCACTTCCTCTTTACTATCAAAGGCAATACTTTTTCAGTACCTTAAGCTCATGTCTTTCCACTACCTCTCACCTTTCATATTTGATCTGTTTCCAAGGCCTGTCAATTTCACATTCCCATCACATTTTAAGCATTTCCATCTCCTTCTCTCCTCTGACAGTGCCACCACTCTAGTACAGGCCCTCATCACTTCACGTCTGGACTATTATGAGAACCTGTTGGTGGGTCTACCTGTTTTCAGTCTCTCATTACTTCAGTCCATCTTCCATTCTTCCACCAAAGTAATTTTGCTAAGTCAAAGTTTTGACCATATCATCCCTTACTCAATAAACTCCAGTTGTTCCCTCTCACTTTCCATATCAAATACAAAATTCTTTGTTGGGCACTTAAAGCCCTTCAAAACCAAGTGCTCACCACCTTCCAGCCTTCTTACACTTACATCTCTGCCACATCTTTTAGTCAGTGAAAGGCCTCAAGGTTGTTCTTGAACAAGACTGGAATACTCTCTGTCATTTCAGCCTACTGGTTTTCCTGGTTCCTTTAAGTCCTAACTGAAATCTAATCTTCTATAGGAAGCCTTTCCCAAATTTTTTTAATCCTCGTGCCTTCCTTCTTTTAATTAATTGCAATTTTCCTATGTATCTCATTTGTTCATATTTGTTTGTTTATTGGCTCCTCAATTATATTGTGAGATCCTTAAGGACAGGAACTGCCCTTTGCCTTTATTTGTATCCTCTGGGTTTAGCACAGTGCCTGGCACATAATAGGCACTTAAATGTTTACTGACTGACTGATTGTTGCATGCTTATCCTTTTACTATTCCTTCATTGATTTACTATCACGTTCCTATGGTGAATGTTCCAAATTTTTCTTTTCTTTCTTAAGGCACCTACACTACTTTCCCCTTCTTATTAACAGACTTCATCTTGTACTTTACTGGAAAAAACGAGGTAATCTCTTGCATCCTCCCTTTCTTCTTTAATTCTAAAACATTATGCCATGATCTTGCATTTTTTTCCTCCCTTGTTCCATTCTATGAAGATGAGATTGCTCTTTTCATTGCTAATCAATCAATAAACATTTGTTAACTTTACCGATACAGACCTCTCTATTTTGTCTTACTTCTGTCCTCATATGCTTCCTACATCAGCTTTACCCTTCCACCATTCTGTCCTCCCATAATTTTCAACCTCTTTGTATCCAAAGGCTCCTCCATTGTTGACAAATTAGAATGTTTTCCTACATCCTTCAAACAAACAAACTCTTCAGTTGATCCCACCACCCCCTCAAACCACTGACTTTTAAATCTTTGTCCCTTTTACAGTCAAAATTAGAGGGAAAAAGTTGTCTGTATTCATAGCTTCAACTATCTTACACTTTCATGCTCATTTTAGGACTTTGGAATTTGGCCTCTGTTTTCGTCACCAGCACTGAAGTGAAACTGATCTCTCCAGATGCACCTATAATCTCTTAAACGTAAATTTTTATACTCTTTATTTTTCATTGCTTATCCTTCTTGACCTTTGTATAGCATTTGAAATTGTCGACCAACCTATTTTTCTGAATATTTCATTTTCTTTTTTTTCCCTATGACGCTGTACTCTTGTGGTTCTTACCCTCCCTTTATGAGTGATTATTCTCATCCTCTGCAACATCATCATTCATGCCTCATCTTCTAACTGTAGTTATTCTCCATAAGTTTATCTTGAGTGTTTTTATTTTCTTTCTCTATGCCAAGAATTCTTATCTTTTTTTGTGTGTGTGACATGGTCCCCTTTGGTATTATGGAAAAGTTTATGAGCTTATTCTTAGAAAATTGCTTTCAAATGCATAAAATAAAATACATAAGACTGTAAAGAAAACTAAATATATTGAAACTAAGTTATAAAAATATTTTAATTATTTAAAAGAAAATCTACTTAGATGTTTCTGATGAATTGCCCCAAAATCTGTCATTCATTGCAGATAAGCTGTTTTACATTTTTATTAATGATTAAAATAAATGCATAGATACCAATATTATCAGCTTTCAAGAGGATATAGAGCTGTGGTGTATGATTAAAATGCATTATGACAGAATTAGGATAAAAAGGATAGCAGCAAGCTAGAACATTGGATGTAGTAGAAGAAATTTCATGGGAATACATGTCAATTTTAACATGATTTCAAAAAATATCCTTATTAATCCAAGAAATAAAAAAGCCTATTTTTCTGAAAAAAAAAATCTAGAGATGTAAGTGCCCTGAAAACAGCAAAGACCGTAACTCTACATTGTGATATACAGCCAAATAAGTCAATACTAGCTTGGGCTTAATTAAAAGAGGCATGTTTGATAGTTTTCAGTCATGTCAGTTCTTCGTGACCCCTGTGGGGTTTTCTTGGCAAAGACACTTCCATTTTCCTTTACAGATGAGGATATAGAGCCAAACAAGGTTAAGTGACTTGCTCAGCATCAAACAGCTATTAAGTGTCTGAGGCCAGAAGATGAGTCGTCCTGACTCCATGCCACGTAGCTGCCCCCAAAGAGTCCTAGCTTCCAGGATTAAGGAGCTTTTCTACTATTGTACTCTACCCAGGTCCTCTAATATGGACTAAAGGTCCTTCATCATATTTCTTTTTATAGTCTTTTCTGAAGCTGTAATTTGATGATAAATAAATCTTTTATATTTGAATTATACATAGAAATATATAATGTTTACCTAAAGGAAAACCTTTCTAAAGTTTTGTTGGATTCTTTTACTGTAGGGGAGAATAATACTTCGGTAGCCTAAACTTTGTCATACATTCACTAGAGAAGTTTATTGTACCTACATTATTGAGGTATGCTGTTAAGAATTCATACAGAAGCACAAATAGAGTTATCCCAACATCTTCAATCTTATTCAATTGACTTCCTGCATGTATATCTTTTTAAGGATATACTGAGGGATTTGAATACCATTTTACAATATGATTAATGTTCTTTGAGAAAGAATTAACACATTAAAACCACCATCAATAGTCCTTAAGATAGTAGTGAGCTGATAATTCCTGGAGTGCTATAAAACATGTTGTGAGAAATTACCAAACATTCTTTAATCAATAGGAATACCTCAGAACTACGAGTAGATAACTCTAGATCACATTATTTTTCTATTCCAGCCATGTTTGGAGTTTGACTGACTTTAGTGATACCAATAGCATCAGTGGAAATATCACAAACTGCATACTCAGAAGATGTGGGCTTCTCTTCTAGCTTGACCAATTGTTAGGTGAGATTTCATCACTTGACAATTGCAGTAAGCTTCAGTTTCCTCATCTAAAAAATGAAGCCAATAATCCTGATAACATCCCCATGGTAAAGATATTGTATGTGAAAGGGAATTGAAAGCAAGCAGATACTATACAAATGTTAATACTCCTACTTTAATCATTGTTCATGATGCTCGTTTATGTACAGAACACCTCAGCCCAAATCTCAGAATTTATGGTTAATATGTAGAATGCATTAATCCTCTATGGAAGCCATCCTCTGATGCCTCATTGAAATGAGTTCAACCCTGGGTTTTCAAAGGCCCTGATAACATGATGAAAGCTGTGGTAGGACCTCATAAACCCAAAGGGATTTGAATGTGGAGTCTAGAAATTCACTATTTTTCTGATGTCTGAGGAGTAGCAAACTAAGCTCCTTAGTAGCTAGGAGTAGCTAATAAATAAGTAGCCTAAATGAGTCAGAGAAATTCATTTTCTGATTAGTCACAGTGTGATTAATTTTTCTGCCACAGAAATTTTTTAAGGTCATTTACTAAATTGAAGGAGTGTTCTAATCTGTGTTAGT